GTCTCTACAAAAAAATTAAAAGATTAACTGGGCTTGTTGACACGCACTCATGGCCCCAGCTACTCAGGAAGCTGAGGTAGGAGGATTGCTTGAGCCCAGGCAGTGAGAGAGGCTCTACCTCTGAAGAGGCTGCTTCCTCACCCAGTGCCCCCTCCCCAGGCACCCACTCCAGCAGCGAGAATTTCACCGCCAGCATGCAACATGGGTCCCTACCTGTCTCAACTCAGACCCTGTCTATGATGTCCTATGGCCTCAGCAGGGACCAAAATCCTCACCATGACCTGTGTGGCTCCACATGGCTCTCAGATTGGGTTGCAGGTCAGTACCCTCCCCTTCAGCTCCTCAGGGGCCTCTGGTATTCCCTGGCCTTGGCTTCTGCTCTGCCCTCCCCTCCATTCCCTTCGCCCTCTTCATTTTCATTCTCTATGCAAATGCTGCCTCCTCTAGGAAGCCTTCCAAGATTGCCCCCAGACTGGGTGGATTAGATGTGATATGGGCTCCCACAGCCCCTTTTGCCTCGGATTACTCACATGGCTGGCTGTATATCTGTGCCCCAGAAAGGTTTCTTTTCCTTTCTTTTCTTTCTTTCTTTTTTTTTTAATGATAGGGTCTCACTTTGCCACCCAGGCTGGAGTGCAGTGGCATGATCATAGCTCATTGCAGTCTCAACCTCCTGGGCTCAAGCAATCCTTCCACCTGAGCGTCCTGAGCAGCTGGGACTACAGGCAGGCGCATGTCACCAGGTACCTGACTACTTTTTCTTATTTTTTTGTAGAGATGGGGTCTTGCTGTGTTGCCCAGGCTGGTCTTAAACTCCTAGCCTCAAGTGATCTCCCACCTCAGCCTCCTGAGTAAATTGGACCCCAGGTGCGAGACACCATGCCCAGCTAATTTAAAAAAATGTTTTTGTAGAGACAGGATCTTGTTATGCTGCCCAGGCTAGTCTTGAACTCCTGGGCCCAAGTGATCCTCCCACCTAGGCCTCCCAAAGCACTGGGATGATAGGTGTTTAAGCTACCTCGCCCGGCCTCTCCTGCTCTATTGGCGCTGTGAGATTCACACCTCACTTGAGTGCTATGAGCTGAACTGTGTCCTCTCCACAAATGTCTATGCTAAAGTCCTGCCCCGCAACTGCCTCAGAAAGTGACTGTACTTGGAGATAGGATCTTTAAAGAAATAATTAAGTAAAAACGAGGTCATATGCGTGGGCCCTAATCCAACATGACCAATTTCCTTGTAAGAAGAGCAGATTCGGACACAGACATGCACGGGGGCGGGGGGAGGAGACTGTGTGAGCACACGGGGAAAAGACAGCTGTCTACAAGGAAAGGAGAGAAACCTCATAAGGAGTCACCCCTGTGGACATCCTCATCTTGGACTTCCAGTCTCTAGAAACATAAGACTATAAATTTGTTTGTTTGTTTTGAGACAGAGTCTTGCTCTGTTGCACAGGCTGGAGTGCGGAGGCACAATCTCGGCTCACTACAACCTCCACCTCCTGAATTCAAGCGATTCTCCTGCCTCAGCCTCCCAAGTAGCTGGGACCACAGGTGTGTGCCACCACACCTGGCTAATTTTTTGTATTTCTAGTAGAGACAAGGTTTCACCATGTTGGCCAGGCTGGTCTCGAACTCCTGACCTCAGGTGATCCACCCACCTCGGCCTTCCAAAGTGCTGGGATTATAGTTTTGTTGTTGAAATGGAGGTCTCGCTCTGTCACCCAAGGCTGGAGTGCACTGGCATGATCTTGGCTCACTGCAACCTCTGCCTCCCAGGCTCAAATGATCCTCCCATCTCAGCCTCCTGAGTAGCTGGGACCACGGTGCACACCACCACACTCAGCTAATTCTATTTTTTTTTGTAGACAGGATCTCACTATGTTGCCCAGGCTAGTCTTGAACTCCTGGCCTCAAGCGATCCACCTGCCGTGGCCTCCCAAAGTGTGACTACGGGCATGAGCCATGGCGCCTGGCAATTTCTGTTAAGTCACCTAGTCTGTGGTACCTTGTTACGACGCCCTAGCAAACAGATACACCCACTGAAGGTCCTGATAAGTCCTGCAGTCAGGAGCCTCTGTGAACCCCATGGGGCTAGGAGGAGAAAGCAGAGTTTGTTGTGTGCCTCACATGAATACATCAGAAGCTGAACAGCTTACAGGACCCCTTGGAACAGTCCTAGGGGGATTGGAGTTCCAGGGTCCATTCTGCTTGTTAATAACAATATGAATGGAGCAGCCAAAATGGTTCCAGTGAAAATGGGGTAGCAGCAGCTGTCACGCTTGCACGCCACCAGCCTTCCTGCGCTATCTCTGTTCTCTCCTCTGCAAAAGCAGCTGCTATTTTGGGCTCCCTGTTTTTAGATTGGGAACCCCGTAAGTTGGCCAGGGCCTCACTGCTGGAAAATCTTAGAGCCGGTATTCAAACGAGAGTTCAATTTTTTTTTTTTTTTGAGACGGAGAGTCTCGCTTTGTCGCCCAGGCTGAAGTGCGGAGGCGCGATCTCAGCTCACTGAGGCCTCCACCTTGTGGGTTCAAGCGATTCTCCTGCCTCAGCCTCCCAAGCAGCTGGGACTACAGGTGCACACCACGACGTCCAGCTAGTTGTTTTGTATTTTTAGTAGAGATGGGTTTTCACCATGTTGGCGAGGCTAGTCTTGAAGTCCTGACCTCAAGTGATCCTCCCACCTTGGCCTCCCAAAGTGCTGGGATTACAGGCGTGAGCCACCGTGCCCTGCCAAAAGTCCAAGTTCTTAACCTCCACAAGGGCTTGAGATGCCCTGGGGGGCAGGGAGAGGCTAATTCTCCTTCTGAGAGGATAATAGGGGTTGGTGGGGCCTGGGGCACAGGCCTGGCTCAGCACAACTCCCAGGGGATCCCTTGGAAAGAAAATGAGGCGGGCGCTGGCTGGCAGAGAGATGGGAATAGTTTATTTCTCTGGAAAGGGAGGGGTAGGGGGCAGGTCCAGGGGTCAGGGCAGGGCAATGTCCTCCAGCTTCTGGTCCAGCGTCTTCAGGTCATCCAGGAAGCGGGTCGGGGTGAGGATGTGTGAAGAGCCTGTGCAGGAGCAGAGGTTTGGAGACGATGTTGGGGGACACTGCCTTTGTCTTTGACAGGCTCCCGCCAGGGTCCCAGCTGGTGTGGAGCTGTCCCTGTCCCTCGGCAAACCAGGTCCCTGACTGGAAGGACTCTGGAGTCTAGGAACCTAGAAGGTCCAAGTCCAGCTCCCGGGAAGCCAAGCCTTGGAGCCCCAGGGTCCCAGTCCTGGTGACTTACCAATGAGCACCTCCCACTTGCCCTCGGTGGCCCTGGTCACCTCGTAGGCGGCCCTCATCTCCGACATGGCCACACCGCCCATGATGTACACGATGAGCCGGGGGCCCGCCCGGGCCTCTACGCCGGCCTTGTTCTTGTGCCAGTGACCGAAGCGGGCACTGCAGGGCAGGGGCAGAAAAGTCCAGGCAGGAGGTCCTCACCGCCGCCAGGCCGCCCACTAACACAGACCCAGGCGTGGGTGGGGGTGACCTCGGGGCCTCACCTGACGGCGGCCTGGGAGCTGGCCGTGGGGGCGGGGTCGGATACGAAGGGCCACACGTTCCTGTCCAGCCGGTCCTCCACGGCGTCCTGGTGGCCGAGACGGGGGTGAGGGGAGGAACCCCAGGCATGGGCCCGGGGTCAGGAGTGCCCCCCACAGGGTATTCAGGGGCCAAGATCCTGGCAGACAGGAACCAACATCTCCACCAGCTGCCTCTGGGGGACCCAGGAGTCTAGGCCTCCAGGCCATTGGGGACCTAGAAAGCTAGACCCATACTCACTGGGAACCCACGAATCTAATTCCGTAACTCCTTGGGGACCCAGAAGTCTAAACCCATAATTCCTTGGGGACCCAGTAGTCTGGGCCTCCAGGCCCTTGGGGACCATCAGTCAATACCCGCAGCCCTTTGGGGAACCCAGAGTCTGGACTCTCAGCCCCTCGGAGCCCCAGAAGTCCGGGTATTCAAGGTCCGTGGGGATGAGGAGGCCCAGGTCTCTGGCCCCCAGGCAGCAGGAGGAGCCGGGGCTCTTAGAGGAACAAGGAGGAAGCAGGAAGCCGCCCGGCCCATTACTATTGGATGGTGCTGCCCCGGGATCCTGGGAAAGGCCAGGGCTGGGGCTCAGGGGGGTCCTGGGGGGCAGGCGAACAGACTACAGAGATATAGAGGAGGCAGCCAGCAGGTAGGGAGGAAGTGAGGCTCCCCAGCACAGGCCCCGATGTCGCCCCAATTCCTCAGCTGCAGGCTTGGCGTGCCCCCCTCGGCAGAGCAGATCGGTGCCAAGGGAGTGCCAGCGATGAGCATTTTCCCCTAAGCCCTGAGGCTTAGCGCCTTGGCAGGAGGGAGGCTGAGCTGCCAGCTGATGCGGAGGGCTGGCCTCCATCCTGACCTGCCCACCCAGTACCTCCATTACGTCCTTGATGACCGGGGTCCAGCGGGACAGCTGATAGGTGGGCTCCATGCGCTCTCTCGGCTCCAGCCGGCTGGAGGTCCCTGAGCCCTACAGGTGGGGCAGGGAGGGCCGCAGGAGGATTAAGGGGAAGGAGGCTGGTCACAGAGGGGTTGGCCCTGGTGTGGCTGGTGGGGTGGGGGACGGCAGGCAAAGATGGGGAAGTGGAACAGAGAGCAAGAGAGTGAGAGAGAGTGAGAGACCGAGACAGCGAGACAGCGAGAGAGAGAAACTGAGCCAGAGAGAGACAGAGCCAAAGGGAGAGCGAGCGAGACAGAGAGACAGAGGCAGAGATAGGCAAAGAGATAAGAGGCAGTGAGACAAAGTATGAAGGCAAGGAGAGAGACAAGAGATGAAGCAGGAAACACAGAGAGAGGAAGACGGGGACAGGAGGGGCACAGAGAGGGGAGGGGAACGAGACAGAGAACAGAGAGAAAGGGGAAGGCAGAGAGAAGGGTAAGAGATGGAGAGATAGACACAGAGAAACGGTGCACAGCGAGATGGATGAGGGATGGGGGAGAGATGGGGACAGGGTGAGGGCACTGTGGAGGGGGACGCACAGGGCCAGAGAGACAGGAGAGGTTCACCCAAGAGTAAAGCACACACATGGCTGTGTGCGGGTGCTAGATGGGTGCGGGGGGCCCTCAGAGACCCCTGGGAGCCCAGATAGTGTGCTGTAGCCCCTACACTAGGGAGTAGACCCTACTCCCTGCCTCTAGCACTCAGACCACCCGTCCCCAACCGCACCACTGCCAGGACCAGCGTGGCAGCGCCCATTCTCTCCCCCTGCCTATTGTGTGAGCTCGGACTGGGGGAGGCCCCAGCATCCTCTGGGCCCCAGACCAGACCTGAAACACTGCTTTTGGCCTCCCAGCAACCACACCATGCCAGGAACCACACCATGCCTGTGCACCACTGGCCCTCTGCCTTGCAGGGCCCCGGCCGTGATCCACGCCCTCTCCCAGAGTCCCCCCACGCCCGCTCCTGGCGTACCCCAGGGTTGGTGACAGTGCCTCCCAGCTGCTCCAGGTTGCGGATGAGGCTGCTGTGCGCCTGTACATTGGCATGCTGGATCAGCTTGGCCAGGTTCTCCTCACTCACACCTAGGGGACGGGGATGGGAGGGGTGGAGGCAGCGGCCAGGTGGGTTCCCAGGTTTAGGGGAATTTGGGGTGGGCTGAGGAGCTCCCAGGACTCTGATGGGAGAATCTTGCAGTGGGGAGGGCCTTAGGACCCTGGGCTAGTGTGAGCAAGAGTGGGGAACCTGGAGGGGGTAGATCAGGGGCTCCTCCAGATGAGCTGAGGGAGCCCCACATCTATAGGAATCATAGATGTGAGGGTTTCCATGTCAGCAGGGAGCCCTCACCTCAATGGAGGAATCCCCAAGCCAATGGAGGAGGGTTCCCGGGTCCAGAGGGGTAGCTGTGGGGGTTGGTGAGCCCGGTGAGTGGAAATGACCCAAGGAGAGCTGTGGGGTTCAGCAGTTCCCAGGATTGTGGGAGACCCTGGCAAATGGGGGCGTTCCAACTCCCCACAGCCCCCACCCACCATTGCGAAGGAGGATGTAGAGCAGCAGGACCCGGATCTTGTCGTAGGCAGGCACCGCCGCGTCCAGCAACACCGGCACGATCAGCTTCATGGAGTCCTTGATCTTTTCCCCCTCCACGTCGGAGCCCATGGCCAGGTCCTGCGGGCACGGGGTCAGCCATCCAGCGGCCGCTATGTGTCAGGGAAGGGGATGGGAGAGGCAGGCCAGGGACGTCCCCAGGGGTAGGCAGGCCAGGGACATGCCCAGGATCCTTGGCAAGAAGACATTTGGGTCCTACCTCATCTCAGCACCAGGTCTCAAGGTCCCACCCCTGTCCAGGGACAGTCTCTCCACAGGCCCTGCTCCTCACCCAGGTCCCACCTTTCCAAGGCCCTGCCCACCTATGCACAGGCCACACCCCTATCCTGAGACCACCTCTCCAAGGCTCCATCCCTCACCCAGGTCCCACCTCTCCAAAGCTCCACCCCTCACCCAGGTCCTATCTCTCCAAGTTTCCACCCCTCATCCAGGTTCCAGCTCTCCAAGGTTCCGCCCCTCACCCAGGTCCCACCTCTCCACGGCTCTACCCCTCTCCCAGGTCCTACCTCTCCAAGGCCCCACCACTGACTCAGGTCCCACCTCTCCAAAGCTCCACCCCTCACCCAGGTCCTATCTCTCCAAGTTTCCACCCCTCATCCAGGTCCCACCTCTCCAAGGCTCCACCCCTCTCCCAGGTCCCACCTCTCTAACACTTCACCCCCTCCCAGGTCCCACCTCTCCAAGGCTCCGCCCCTCACCCAGGTCCCACCTCTCCAAGGCTCTGCCCTTCACTCAGGTCCCACCTCTTCAAGGTTCCGCCCCTCTCCCAGGTCCCACCTCTCCAAGGCTCTGCCCCTCTCCCAGGTCCCACCTCTCCAAGACTCTGCCTACCTCTCCAAGGTCCCACCCACCTATGTACAGGCCACACCCCTGTCCTGGGACCATCTGTCCAAGGCTCTGCCCCTCACCCAGGTCCCACCTCTCCAGGGCCCCATCCACCCAGGCACAGGCCACACCCTCATCCTAGGATCGTTTCTCCACAAGACCCCCTTCCTTTCCCACCAGGTCCCACCTCTCTCCAAGGCCCCTCCACCTCTCCACAAACCCTGCCCCTCCCCTAGACCCCCCCATCTCTACAGTTCAGCCCCTCCCCAACACACTGCCCCGGCAGGACCATCGCCCCCGCCCCCCGCAGGCCCCGCCCCACCTGCTCCACACTACACAGCTTCTCCACCGAGCCCTTGAAGTGCTTCATGCAATCATCTGCTAGATGCAGGTGCGTAGAATACTGCGGGGGGCAGGGTGGGAGTTGGGGGGTAACAAAGGCTGAGTCAAGGCAGAATGCAGACAGAGCATGGGGTTGAGGGGCCAAGGTGCCCCCACTCCCTGCCCACCCAAGCGTACCTTATTCAGCTCCTTCTGGTACTGCGGCATCTTTTTCAGGATCTGGGACAGGTCTTTGATGTTGGCCTGGGGAAGTAGGGGGAAGAGGGTAGGAAGTGGGGGGGCAAGGCCAGGCAATGCCCGCCTGGGCCTCACTCCAGGCTCAAAATCCAGGCTGTGACCCTGCCCCCATGGGGAGGGGCTTCCTTCCACTGGCGCCTTTGGTGACCTGGGTCTGCCCGTACCTTGTCCGTGGTCAGCCTCTTGCTCTCACAGAAGGTCCTCAGGAGCTCCGTGACCTTCCTGGCCATGAGGGTGGGCAGGGGTGAGAATGAGGGGAGAGGAGCCAGAGGTCATGTGTCCCTGCACCCGGCCATGGGTAAGCCCACTCAGGGGGCACAAGGGGAGGTGGGGTGAAACTGGAGGCCAGTCTGGAGTCACACTGAGGGGTGCTCATGAGGGCCAAAGACCTGGGAGCAGCCAGGGATCCCAGGGCCGCTACCAGGCCCACAGTGGGGGAGGGGAAGGGGGGATCCGGCTGCCATGTGCACGCACTTGGACACGTCTGCGATGTGCATGTGGCGAAGCTCCACCCACAAGTCATCGTCTTCGTCCAGCAGGACGGCCTTCTCCCGCGCCTCGCTCAGCCCGGTGGTCTCATATCTGGGGAGGATGGAAGGAGCCTGGGGGTCAGGGGAGCTGAGGACTGGGGAACCAGGTCGGTGGCAAGGATGGGGGCGGCTTCCAAGTCTGCAGACCTGTATGTGTCCTGCTCTATGTCCAGCAGATCATAGGCCATGGCCTGGAACGTGAGCTCATGCAGTAGTGGGGACACGGGGTCAGCCGCCCGGTCCATGATCAGCAGCTGGGAGCGGGTTTTCTCTGGGCCCTGGGGTGGGGTTTAGGGCAGGAATGAGGCACTGACCCTGAGCTGGCTGGGGCTGCCCCTCACCTCCCAAGCACGCCCCCTTACCTCGCCCAGACTGGGAGTGTCTGCCTTGAAGGTGTTCAGCTTGGCCAGGACGGCATGGGCCAACTGGGCTGTGTCCTCTGGGCCCCTGGTGGGGAGGCCAGACATGGGGGACATCATCAGGGGATGGGGTCAAGGATGGGTTTTGAAGGTGGGAGACAGGGACCAGGGTGAGGGCCGGGGCTGGGGTCACAAGAGAGGTTAAAGGTTAGGTGCTGCTCGTGGTTAAGCGGGAGGGGGCGGCATCGGGGTAGGGCTCGGTGGGGTTCCCACTTGCGGTAGCGGATGGCCGGGTACTCCTGCAGTGTGGCGCACAGCGTGGCAATCTGCTGGGCCAGCACCTCGAGCTGTCGCACACGCTCCCCTGCCCGGAAGGGGCAGTAGAGGTTGTAGGTGCTATGGGGGGCATCAAGGGAGAACACCTGGGCAAGGAGGGGGATAGAAGCACCAGGGTTGTCGCTGCAGGTGCACACCTGCCCCGCTTCCCACTGCCGCCACCTGCACCTCCTGGGAGCTGTCCCTGGTCCCTGAAGCCTGCTTTGCCAACTTGGAGGCAGGCCCAGGTCAACCCTAAACCCATGCCTGGAGGAGTCAGTGGATAAATACCCCAGCCCCTGTCCTTTAGGCTGGCTGGACAACCCCACGGTGCGCTCTATGCTGCCCCCTGCAGGGGCCCCGGGGGATAGAAATCAAGGCAAGAGCTCCTTGGACTCTGTGGGTGCCTCCCCTTTTTTAAATTTTACTTTATGTATCTGTTTTTGAGACAGGATCTCGCTCTGTCGCCCAGACTGGAGGCCAGCAGTGCAATCAGAGCTCGTTGCAGCCTCAACCTCCCAGGCTCAAGCGACCCTCCCACCCCAGCCCCCTGAGTAGCTAGGACTACAGGTGCACGCCACCACGCCAGGCTAATTTCTTTTTTTTTTTTTTTTTCTTTTTAAGAGACGGGGTCTTGCCCTGTACCCAGGCTCATCTCCAGCTCCTGGCCCCCAGCGATCCTCCTGCCCTGGCCTCCCACAGTGCTGGGATTACAGGTGTGAGCCACTGCGCCCAGCCTCAGTGTCTGTTTCTGAGAGAACAGGGGACATTTGGTCACAAATCCCCACCCCCTGCCCAGGATGAGCCCGGGCCGTACCTGGGCCTCGTAGGGGAGGAAGGCAAGGTGAATCTCCTTCAATGTCTTCACCACCTTTGCCAGACGAGAGCGGCCCAGCTCACTGAACAGGGGCTCGGGGCAGGCTGGGGTGAGGCAGGAGTGGGGTATCAGGCCAGAGCAGCCCCCACACCTCTTCGCCCCACCCGCCAACACCCTGGGCTCTCCTCACTCACTGTCGGTGAAGAAGATATGGGCCGCTTTGTAGGTGAAGGTCGGGGTCCCCCGGAAGTCTGCGATCAGGGCCTGAACCGACTGGGGAAGGTGGGTCACTCTCTGGGCCTGAGCTTGCACACCCAGGTTCATTGTCTGCCCAGGCCTCCCAGCCACCTCCTATCTGCCACCATATGCAAACATGGATGGACAGGGTCATGCATATGTGCACATGCACACTAGTGTCGCATCCACATGGGCACACATGCACAAACACAAGACACACACACACGCACACACACGCAGACACATGCGCGCACACACATGCACATGCACAGACACACAGACACACATGCACATGCAGACACACAGACACACATGCACACACATACACACATGCATACACGTGCACACGCATACACAGATGCACACACATACACACACGCACTCACACATGCACGCACACATACCCATGCACATGCGCACAGGCACATGTACACACATGCACACGCATACACACGCTCATTCATGTAGGCACCTTCTCCGTTGGGCTCAGCAAATAAATGGCCTCCAGGCTGGGAATGGGTTCTCGCCGTTTGTTGATGTCTTCAACAACTAGTAGGAACAGAGGAAGGGACACAGGTGGGTGGCATCCAGGAAGGGCCACATGGGGAGTCTCAGGTATGGGGAGTTGGAGGCTTGGGGAGGGGGAGTGGATGCTTAGGAGGGACTGCAGGAGAAACATACCTCGGGGTCACCCAGCTAAGAGTCACACGGCAGGGTTCTGCACACTTGGGGGCTGTGCAGCCAACTGGGTTCCAAACCGGGTTCCCCAATTTACAGACAGGGAAACTGAGGTTCTGAGAGGACAGGCTCCCTCAGCACCTGTCCCTCAATGGCAAAGTGACTGGGGCACCTCCTGGGGTCACCCATAGAAGGCTCTGCATTCTTGGGGCCTCACATCCGGAGTCCACCCTGGGAGTCCCACACAGCGCTCCACACAGGGGCTGCACGGTTAGGAAGGGGCTGCAGCCAGGGAGTCCTGCAGGGGAGGTCTGCAATCCATGGGCTCCTGCGGTCAGCTTGCAACATTTAGGAAATTGACTTGGTCACATGATCAAGGCTGTCCCTGCAGGGAGCTGCGTACTTGGGAGTTCTGGACGATTTGAGGGGATCCTACACTCAAGGGCTGAACCCTGGGAGCGGGGCACAGTCAGGGGTTCCCACACTCAGGTCCCATCTCACTGGGACGCATTCACTCACTGGTGATGCCCTCAGCCAGGATGTCTGACATTTTGCAGCAGGAAGACAAGATGCGCATGCTTGGGTGATCCATGATAAGCACCTGTCCAGATGGATGGACAGATGGACGGAGGAGCAGGCGGAAGAGGCCACAGCTGGCCCCAGGAGGGGCCAAGGCAGTGGGAGGGGCAGTTTCAAGGCCTGGCTGGGCGGGAGGACCCAGGACCCATTCACCCAACTCCACCCATGTGGACAGGCAGTTCTCGGGGGTTCCACATTCAGAGTCTTCCCCATGGGCTTGATGAGGGGCTGCCTCTGGGTACCCAGCCATCTTCCTTGCCCCTACCTTCCACTCCCCATCCTTCTTGACACTCCGAATAACTCCGCTCAGAATTTCTGCAGGGAAGGGAGGGGAGGGGTCAGAACGCTGGTTCTCTGATCCCACCACTGCCCCAAGCCTTCTCAGCCTTGCGGCTGAACCCCCATCTTAATTCCCATTTACTCTTTCTAAGAGAGGAGGGTCTCACTCTGTCACCTAGGCTAAAGCGCACTGGTGTGATCGTAACTCACTGCAGCCTCCAACTCCTGGGAGCCAGCGATCCTCTCGCCTCTGCCTTCCAAGTAGCTGGGACTACAGGTGTGTGTACCACCCACAGCTAATTTATTTTTATTTCGGTATAGATGGGGTCTCACTATGTTGCTCAAGCTGGTCTCAAACTTCTGGCCTCAAGCAATCCTCCTGCCTCGGCCTCCCAAAGTGCTGGGATTACAGGCATGAGACACTACACGGGAACCATTTATTTTTACCCCCCAGTTCTGCGAGGTGGCTTCTGGGGACACCCCCAATGTACAGACAGGGAAACAGATTCTTAGGCAACATGCAACTCACCTAAGCATTCTGAGTGTTTAAGTGGCAGAGTGCCGGGTCAAAAGGTGCCACTCGATAAACGTATTTTAGATGAATGAAAAGTGGAGAGCCGGGATCATCCACAGCTCTATCTGCCTCTAGAGCCAGGCTCTCCGATTCCCCACCTGCTGCCTCAAGTATTCCTGCTGTATGGGTTTCAGCCAGTCCCCCAACCCTGGTCTAAAATGTAGGACCCCTGGTTCCCAGCTCTGAGGCATGCCTAGCTGAGGCTAGCCCACCGACCTTCGGCCTCAGTTTCCTCATCTGTAAAATGGAATCACTGTTTTTCCAATCTCCCCCAATTAAAGGGTTTTGAGCTACAGACTGCCCTGCCTAGAGGAGAGAGTGGAGAGAAGTAACGGGGTGGCCCCGCCCAGCCACGTCCACTGTGTCATGTCCACTGTTATCAAGGAGGCCAGGGCGGAAGGAGCAGCTGAGGCCGGAACTCCCCGGGGTGGAGGAAGAGGCGCCTTCCACCCTTCCCCCAAGAACGGGGGCCGGTGAGGCCTGGACGTCTGGGTCCTCCAGCTGCAAGGCGCTCCTGGGAATGAGGCAAGGAGGAAGGCACCCCCTACACCACCCCCGTGGGGCCTGGACATGTCCCCTGAGCGCTCACAGCATCTGGGGTCGCTGATCAGAGCCCCAGGAGGTCCCAAGAGTCCAGCCCCAGAACTTTGCCCAGCTTAAGAGATCCTAGAGTGTGGGCATCCAGCTGTGCCCTCCTCCCCCAGCAGGCACCCTAAGAGGCCCAGGAGTCCGCGCCCCAGCCTACGCCACCCTCTACCCGTCCCCTTTGGGTCTCCGGAGTCCGGCCCCCCAATTTTGTTGTGCTCTAGTACTGGCGAGCAGGGGCGTCCAGCTGGGAACCCGTCCCCGCCCGCCCCCTCGAGGGTCAGGTGCTCGGACGCCCAGCCCGGCTCCCAACTCCTAGCCGCCACGAACCCAGGGTCCCAGAGCCCGTGCGCCCCCGACCCCGATCCCCCACGGGACGCCAGAGCCCGGCCCTGGAGAGGCACTCACTTTCCCCCACCACCGCCTTCAGCCCCGAGGGCGCCATCTTCCCCGAGGGGCGCCGCTGTCGCCGCTTCCGGGTGTGTCCCAAGGTGGGGGCGTGGCCCCGCGCGTCACCCACGTGGACCCCGCCCCGCGGGCCCTGATCCCGCCCCCTGCGCACCTGGCCCCTCCCCGCCGTCGGTTCTCGCCCAGGCCCAGGAAGTTGAGTCCCTGGCGGAGAGGACAGGCAGGTGCGTCCGCGCAGCCGAGCACGAAGTCGCTGGAGGGGCACACCTCGATGACACGCTCACAGACGGGAGTTCAGACACACACTTCCTGGCTTGCGTGCGAAGCGGGATCGCAGGGCAATAATCCCTCCATCTTCCCTGGAAGGTTCGGTGACTGCAAGATACACGCGCCCACTCGATGCCACCAGGCCGCCACCGTCTGGGCCTGGGATCTTGACCCACTTGTCTTCTGTACTTCAGGGTTTAGAGGCAGCAGCAGCAGCCGTCTTGGATAACTTTTGATGGATTCAGGAGGCCTGGAGACCTCTTGTGTGCCGGCACCTGGACATAATTTTCATTCAGCCCTGCCCGATGCCCCGACCTGGACTGCGGTGCCGATAAGGAAACCGAGGCTTAGCGCGATCCCTAATCCAAGGCCACGACGAGTGAGCCTGCTGGGATTCCAGCCAGGAGCCTGTCCCTGGGGAGCACTTGTCACAGCCTTACCCTCTTCCGGGAGGCGCCACACTTACCCTTGTGGACCAACAATCGAATTAACATGCTGATACACACATGGGGTGAGTGAGGCCCTCAAATGCTTGCAAACACATACACACACACACACACACACACACACACACACACACACACACACACACTCAACTTGGAATTTCAGGAGCTGCTTCTGCTGTGTGTCCTGTTACTTGGAAGGCACAGCCCCCGCAGCACCCATACAAAAATGAGGTCTCCAAATTAAGGTGTGAGGTATGTGTGTAAACAGACTCTTATGGGTCTGAGCTGGTTCCTTCGCTCTGCCGTGTTGATGAAGGTACCAAGACCCCTGCCACTTACACGGGACACAGAGAGTGAATCAGACCCGAAGGTCTGGCGGAGAAAGGAAAGGATCCATGCTGCCCTAAAGGAAATAAACTGATGTGACAGCAAGTGCCATGAAAGGTAGGAGTGGGAGGGGACTTTATTGAGGGTGACCCCCAAGGACCTCTCTGAAGAAGCAGCCTTTTGACATTATCCCTGAATGAATTCTAGAAGCATCAACACAGCATGTCCAGGTAGAGAAGGGAGGGGCCCCGAGCTTAAGAAGGCTGGAGGGTGGGGGCAGTAGGGGCCAGAGTTCTGTAGGACAAGGTCAGACTGACCCATCCCAGTGCCAGGATGCAGGACTTTCAGTGCTAAAAATAGGACAGTCACAGGCAAACCAGGACGGCTGGTGACCGTAGGTAGGAGTTTGAGCTATTTCTTCCTTTCCTCTCCTTTTCCCTTCCTTTCTTCCTTCTTCTCCCTCCTCCCCGTTTTTGTTTGTTTTTGTTGTGTAAAGAGACAGGGTCTCGCTCTGTTGCTTCCTGAGCTCAAGGGATTCTTCCACCTCAGCCTCCCAAGTAGCTGGGACCACCTCGCCCAGCTGATTTTGTTGTTGTTGTTGTCGTTGTTAAGAGACAGGGTCTCCCTATGTTGCCCAGGCTGGTATCAAACTCCTGGGCTCAAGGGATCCTCCTGCCTTGGCCTCCCAAAGTGTTAGGATTTTAGGTATGAGCCACCACACCCTGCCCCTTCCTCCTTTTTTAACAGCTTTACTGAGATATAATTCACATACCATACAAGTTGCTGACCTAAAGTGCGTAAGTCAATGGCCTTTAGTATTTTTGGAGTTGGGTGTCCATTACCACAATCCACTTCAGAACATTTCCACGACCCCAAGGGGTTTGGGTTTGGTCTTGAGAAGATAAAACGCAAGGGAAGAGTTCTGAGCAGGGGAAGGCAGGGAACCCTCCAGATCCTGAGGGGAAGGACGGAAGACAGGACCGCCTCCAGCTTCTCAGCTGGACCTCTTGAGGGGAGGGAGAGCTGATACGGCCAATCACTCCACCCCAACCCCCACAAGATATGAAGTTCTAATCCCCAATACCCCACAATAGGACCTTATTTGTAATGGGGTCATTATAGATATTAGCAGTGAGCATGAGGCCACATTGAAGTAGGATGGGCTCCTAATGCAATATCACTGGTGTCCTTGTAAGATAGTTATATGGCTGCCTGATTCTGGGTAGGTGGTTGGGAAGTGGGGGAATGGGTATATGAAGACCAGGACACAGAGGGAGAATGCCATGTGACCACGGAGGCAGGGAGTGAAGAGCTGCAGTGACAAGCCAAGGACACCAAGGACGGCAGGCCGCTGCCAAAAGCCAGGGAGGGACAAAGAGGGCTCCTGAGACCTGGTTTTCAGAGGGAGCACAGCTCTGCCAACACCTTCATTTCAGGCTCTGGGCTCTGGAACGTTGGCTCAATACATTTCTGTTAAAAAAACATTTTAAAGGCTGAGCATGGTGGCTCATGCCTGTAATCCCAGCACTTTGGGAGGCCCAGGCCGGAGGAACACATGAACGCAGGAGTTTGAGACTAGCCTGGGCAATATAGTGAGACCTCATCTCTATATAAAAATACATGATAAAAGTCAACTTACGTTGCTTTAAGCCATCTGGTCTGTGACACTTTGTTCTGGCAGGCCTAGGAAAGGGATACTTGTGCTGAGGAGGGGGACACTTGGTTGGCATAGAGGGAAAGAGCGTGAACTTGGCCCTTTGTGGAACAGGGGAGACTCGGACAGAGGTGGTGATAGGGCAGTCCATTCATTCTGAGATGAAACTTTCACTGGTTTCTGTAAAGGCATCTTGGGGAGTGCAGGGAAGGGGATGGGGACTTCCCAGTGGCATCCCCTTCTCGGGCACCGAGGGAAAGCCACAGTGGCTTGGGGAAGAAGGCAGGGACGTCCTCTCCCCGCCTGCCTGTCCCCAGGGAGTCTCACCTCCTGTTTCCACCTGGGGCTGGGGTGATCGATAGGAGATAGCTCAACCTGGCATTTGGGTGGTGTGGGAACAGGAGACCCCAGACTTTCTTGTTTTGGGCTCTGGGGCAGGCAGCCAGGCTCCAGGGACAGTGAGTCAAGGGAAGGGTGGCTGGGAGACCCCTTGACTTGCTGCCAAGGAGACAGAGCTGGTGCTAGGGTGGCATCTGAGGCAGGTGCAGAGAGAGAGGGAGGGAGGGAGGGAAGGGGCCTTTGACTCCAACCTCTTCTTTCTCTATTGACTGCAGGTGGCAGCTGCCCTTCCAGGAGCCAGTGGGAGGACCTGGGTGGCCGGGTGGGGACACCTGCCAAGTCCTCACCTAAGCCAGCTACCACCCTACTCTGTTGGCTTCCCTTCTCCAACTGTGGGGACGCTGCTCAGGCCTTTCGTGACATCACACCCGGGAGTCCTTGGGGTCCGGTCACTGCTGCTGGGCCCAGCGAGGTTCAAGCTCCGGTCGCCCTGCCCCCTACCCCCCATGCCAGATCAGGCATCGTTGTGGGCAAACAATTATCTGGATGATCTTTATGGGGCTTAAGCTTGGGTGGGAGCAGATGGGGCATGAGCTGGGGATTTGGGGATGGGGGAATCCACACCCCCACGTCCCGGACGTTTAAAAGGCCCTCTCTGGCACTGGGCCGGGGCAGAGGCCAGCAGGAAAGTGACCGGAGTCCAGGGACATGATGGATCAGGAGGAGAAGCCGGAGGAGGGCTCAGACCCCTGTGCCGAGGTGAGAAGGCCCTGCCCCCACCCCAACCCCAGCTCAAGGTCTCAGAGCCCATGATTGACAAGACTAATTAGTTTGTAGGGCACCTAATTAGCGAGTGAGTCTCCTAGGACCCCCTGACCCAGTTGTGGCTGTAGAAAGGGGCTGGTGGGCTTGGGGGTCTGAGTGCCAGGCCCCAGGGCAGAGGGCAGGGCTCTCTGTGTGGACCCCTATTGATGGGAGATGCTGGGACCTGGGGGTAGCTCCTGGGCCATGTTTCCCTGACTCGTGTCCCAGCTCCCAGGCCATGCTCATCAGGCCCCAATCTAGGACGGCAGGACACTGGCATCGGAGCCTGTCCCTTGAGACGGTACCACGTGAAGTGGCACTGCCGGCCGGGGCCCCGGGGGCGGGGGCCGGGATTGGGAAGGAGACTCATGTCTCATCCAGAACAGCTCTGCAGAGTGGATCGGCGGGGACCATGGTGAGAGCTGAGGAAGAGGGGACAGCAGGCCCCGGGGTCGGGTGTGAGCAGGCTGGCTGGGAAGGTTGGGGAGGGGTCCCCAAGCTGAAGGGGCAACCGGACTGAGCGGGTCTGCCCGCAGGCGGGCTCCCCAGACCAGGAGGGCTTCTTCAATCTGCTGAGCCACGTGCAGGGTGACCGGATGGAGGGGCAGCGCTGTTCACTGCAGGCCGGGCCGGGCCAGACCACCAAGAGCCGTGAGCACGGGCCCAGGGGTGCTGTCCATGGGGCGTGAACAGGGTGCGAGTGCAGGGCCAGTAGTCATCTGGAGGGCCTGGGGGCACGGCGTGTGGGAGGCGGTGGTGCACCCTGAAGCATCTGCATGGGGGTGAAGGGGTAGGGTTGGGGGCCCCCAGTCCGGCTGTGTCCTCCCAAGTCTGTGAATGTCCACGCAGAGAGCGACCCCAACCCTGAGATGGACAGCCTCATGGACATGCTGGCCAGCACCCAGGGCCGCCGCATGGATGACCAACGTGTGACAGTCAGCAGCCTGCCCGGCTTCCAGCCCGTGGGGCCCAAGGTAGGTGATGTTCTGGCGATGCCGAGGAGAAACCCACCAGGCAGTGCTCTCCAATCCTGCCCTCCACCCCAGCCGGGAGGGAACAGGGCCTGCCCCACCTCTGTCCATCCGCTGCCCTGACTTCAGATGGGAGGACCAAGGCCCAGGCAGCGGCTAGAGGGGCCCAAGGTTATATAGGGGCCATGCTAGTGTCAGACCCATGGCTGGAACTTGTGGCTCCTGCCCCCAAGTCTAAAGGTTCTGGGGAGGCCAAAGGGAGAAAACAGGACCCCCTCCTAGGAGGATACCTCAGGGAGGAGGGCACGTGAGCTCACGCATAGGAGATATATATATATATATTTATTTATTTATTTACACACACACATCTGCATACTCACATGTGTTGACTTCACACATACACAAAGCTTGGGTTCTGATCAGGACCCCAGTGAGGGTCCCAAGACCTGCCACCTCACGCTCAAATGCCACCCTAAATGGCAGATATTGAAGGTAAACATAGACCAGTGCTCAGGATGAGGTGGGACACGGTGCCCACCCACACCCTCTCTCCAACGTTCGCCACCTCTGGCTGGCACTGCCCTTGAGCCCTCCCCCTGGCTGACCCCTCTTCATCCACAGGACGGAGCGCAGAAACGAGCTGGGACCCTCAGTCCCCAACCCCTGCTCACCCCTCAGGACCCGACCGCTCTTGGCTTCCGTCGGAACAGCAGCCCCCAGCCCCCGACACAAGCCCCCTGAGGGCCTGAGGCATCCTGGGCCTTACTCGGCCCCCAAAAACTGATAAAAGAATAAAACACTTCTATGAGTAACAAGGAACTGAGTATGCGTATATTTCATCAGGGGAGGGGCTAGGACTCCCACTTGGAGGCCTCAGGATTTCTGCTGGGCATCGCGAAGAAGCTTCTCCTCCCGCCGCTTCCGTACCCTCTCTTTGAATTCTTCTATCTCTTGAAGCTATGGGTGGAGAAGTGGGTGGGACAGGAAGGGGGGAGGGGCACACACCTCAGCGCTGAGCCGGGATCCCTCTACCACTCTCCCACCACACTGCCCCAGACCACGGCTTCAGGTTTCAGTGTCTTCATTGGAAGCCCCCTGCCAATGACAAAGGGGTCCAAGGGGGATCCGCTTCACTCTTCCAGGAGAAGGCAATAAGGAAACCATCTCCTCCTCTGCTCTCGGTTCCTTACTCATGGCTGAGAGTAAAATGTTCCTTTTTGAGACGAAGTCTTGCTCTATTGCCCAGGCTGGAGTGCAGTGGCGCGATCTTGGGCTCACTGCAACCTCTGCCTCTGGGGTTCACGTGATTCTCCTCCCTCAGTCTCCCGAGCAACTGGAATTATAGGCACCTGCCATCACACCCGGCTAATTTTTGTATTTTTGTAGACATGGGGTTTCGCCATGTTGGCCAGGCTGGTCTTGAACTCCTGACCTCAAGTGATCCACCCACCTCGGCCTCCCATGCCCTGGGATTACAGCCATGAGCCACTGCACCTGGCCTAAAATTTTCACCTGAAACCCATCCCGGACACAGGCATCCAGCCTCCTCCATCCCTCTGGCAGGAAGAAGATGAGATCACTTACCTTCTCAGGTGTCCACAGCTCCCTCTGTAAGGAAAAGTCACAACTGGGACACAAGCCAAGAGCCTCCAGAGCCCCACACCAGGGTAGGGTCAGCTCATGGGAGGCAGACATTGGTCCCCAGCAGATTGGTGCCCCGCACCCTCTCCCACCCCTGGAGTGAACCCTCGAACGCTCCTCTTATGCCCACCTTGCGCTGTATGACGTAGCCCTCAAACCACTCGGCCTGATTGGAAACCCAGAACATCGCCACAGGGAAAGTGAGGTAGAGTATCATCTGGAATGGCAGAGGGTGGGTGAGGTGACCGCCCCCCTCCCCCCAAGCAATGTGCAGAGGCTCCTCAGAGCCTGGGGGACCCATCCAACCTCAGAGTCCAGAAGCGCCTCGTTAGGGCCGACCCAAGGACCCCAGAACTCCCACCAAGGGTACGGAAACCTCGCATCCTAAAACCTAACTCCTATAATCCAGGAGGCTTCATTCCTGAAAGTCCCCCCGAGCTGGAGTCTTCCTCTCAAAGACAGACAGACATACAGAGGCCCGAGCTACAATCAAAAGCATCTCCTCGAGACCTCATTACTCATCCCCACTTAAGATCCCGGGAGCACCCCCAAACCCAGGAGGCGTCACTCTTCAACTCCACTTCTCGAAGTCTGGGAGTCTCCCTATCATAGACACCCACCCACCACAAGCCCGAGAGCTCCCCCAGGATCTTAAGTCTTCCTTCTTTAGAGCCCCCTTCTCAGCCAACCCCTCTCTGAGGTCTTTCCTCGGACCAGCCCTCTCACAGCCCCCAAACCCAGAAACCCAAATCTGAGAACCTCCCCCCCAACCCAGCGTCCCCTCTCCTGGATTTCCAACCAGAAAGGTCCCTCTCAAATCTTAAGAGCTTTCTCCTTGGAGCACCCTCTTTCTTTTAAGACCCCCATTTCCAGCCTCATCTTCAGATCCAGGAAGATCCCCTGCTCAGCCTCCCAATCCACTCCTGTGTCCACTGACCCGAAATATCTCCAGCTTCACCCCCATCTCGTTTCTCCCGGTCAACAAAGCAACTTCCGCCCAAAGCCGACCCTCCAGCAAGACAGAAGCTCATTGGTGTTTTGCACGCTCCATTGCTGAAGCTGATTGGTCAATGTGTATCCTGATGACGTATATTCGGGCGTCTCTATGTTGCTTCCGGTCGCTGGCGTCTTCGAAACGAAGTCAAGAACGTGAGCCTGTCCGTCAAAAAGGATTTAACCAATAGAAAACGGGTCTGGCCCGGAGGGGCGGGCCGTCAGTGGTAGATGTCATAAGCGCGCGACTCTCGCCTGTACCTGGGCATCCAGGAAAATGGTGGTGATGGCGCGACTCTCGCGGCCCGAGCGGCCGGACCTTGTCTTCGTGAGTCCACAGAGGAGCCAGGGGTGGCCTGCGTTGGGGCATTGGGACCTGGACGCCGCAGGGGATCGGGGCCGGGTCGCTAAGGGGATTTAGGCCAAAATTGCCAGGCCAAGGATTGGGGACCTTAACGGGCCAGAGACCGGATTGTGATGTCCACACCTAACTGGCCAGGAGTAAAAAATACGGTGTTGTGTCTTAGGGTCTGAGTAGAAAACTACTGTCGAAGGAAAGCGTCTAGCCTCCCGAGCCAGGGGCGGAAATGGGGGCTTGCAGGGAATGGGAGAGGAAGGAGACCGCATAATTGAACCTTGAGAAGTGAAGACCGGTGTCTGAAGTAAAGGCGTGATTACGAGGCCAGGGCTTCGGTTTCTAGAATGAAGGCTTGGTTTTCTAGATAGCGGTCTCTAGGTCTGGACTGCGGCATGACAGTTTCTGGGGGTGGTGGCCAGGCTAGAAGAACCCTGGTGTTGTGGAGCTTGTCAGGCAATGGCCAATGAAATGCTTATTGGCTGGAGTAGAGGCGTGACATCTTCACCAGATTCTTGGTGTGCAGAGTTAAAGGCTTGGCTTCTGGTGTATAACTGCTCTTACGAGATAAAGGCTTAGCTTTTAACTTCTGGGGCAGAGTTGAGCTAGATGCTGGCTAGTGGGATCCTGGGGGTGGGGCCAGTGGCTTGAAATCTGGACCTGAGAGCCCTGGTGGCTGGGGTGAAGATCTGGTCGTCTGGGCCTGGAGTGGAAATGGATCAGTTGGTGACAGTGGGAGCCTGAGGGGCCAAAGGCCTGGTGTCTGGGAAGAGGCATGTTTTGAAGAAGTGGGGTCTGGTGTCCAGGACAGAAGCCTGGCATCTGGGCCAGGGCCTTGGTAGCTAAGGAGTCTGACCATTTGGGGCAGAAAGCGAGTGGTGATGTGGACTCATGCCTGGCCCAGAGCCCTAATAACTGAGAAGTCTGATGATTTGGGTTCAATTTTGGGTAGTTGAATTCTGAGGGGTAAAGGTCTGGGCCAGTGTCTTGGTGTCTGGGCATCTGGTTTGGTGCCTGGTTTGGTGTCTGGGCATCTGGTGACCTGACTTCCTTGGTGGGTGGTGGGATCTGGGTAAAAGTCCAGAGTTTGGACCTGAGCCCCAGTAGTGGGGTGGTGCCGCACGCAGGCTCTGAGGGTAGACCTCTCTTCGCCCCATTCCCTGGCCCTGGCAGGAGGAAGAGGACCTCCCCTATGAGGAGGAAATCATGCGGAACCAGTTCTCTGTCAAATGCTGGCTTCGCTACATCGAGTTCAAACAGGGCGCCCCGAAGCCCAGGCTCAATCAGCTATATGAGCGGGCACTCAAGCTGCTACCTTGCAGGTGGGAATGGCTCCAGCTACCCTGCCCACCAGCCCCTGCCCCCCCGGTCCAGTTATAACAAAACTGCCAAGTAGGTCCCAGGTGATTGCTTTGTGTCCCATCACTGACCTGTACATCCCTTGGTGGGTCAGCACACCTCCTCTGATGTCCCAGTCTGTCCCTGTCATTGCTGAGACATGTGACCCCTCCCACACCCACATTTGCCAACAGGGGCAGGGCAGATGGTTCTGGGGGGGTCCATAAAGCTGACCGATCAGCATCTGTCCCCTCCTGTTCCCCAGCTACAAACTCTGGTACCGATACCTGAAGGCACGTCGGGCACAGGTGAAGCATCGCTGTGTGACCGACCCCGCCTACGAAGATGTCAACAACTGTCATGAGAGGGCCTTTGTGTTCATGCACAAGGTTTGGGGCTAGGCGAGGGGATAAATCGGGAGGGGGGGCTCAGTCCATGGTGGTGGGTGGGGTAGGGACGGGGCTGGGCTCAGCATGTTAGGGATGGGGGCCTGGAATCCTGTTGCTTCTGTGCATGGGAAGTTGGGCTGGACTCAGTCCTGGAGCTGGGGGTTTCTGGGTCCTGCTGCATTTATGTGGAGGCCCCAGGTGTGACTCAGCCACAGGACATCAAGTGTCTGTGGCTAGGCCATGGAGTCCGTGGCTTAGCCCCAGCCGCCTCTCCCCACACCCCCAGATGCCCCGTCTGTGGCTAGATTACTGCCAGTTCCTCATGGACCAGGGGCGCGTCACACATACCCGCCGCACCTTCGACCGTGCCCTCCGGGCACTGCCCATCACGCAGCACTCTCGAATTTGGCCCCTGTATCTGCGCTTCCTGCGCTCACACCCACTGCCCGAGACAGCTGTGCGAGGCTATCGGCGCTTCCTCAAGGTGAGCCCAGCAGGTACGCTGGTTCCCCAGGTTAGTTTCCAGAAACTGCCTCACTGTGACACTAGCTCCGTGTAGGATGTCACCCAGCAGACCGGATGTGGGAAGAGGCACCAGGAGATGCATATGTCTTGTCCGTGATTCATGTCTTTATTTTCCAAATAGTTTGCTCATGCCAGTTTCACATTAGGTATAGAGATGGGTGCTGAGGACAGTGTGGCTAAGACACTCCCTACCTGCACGGAGCTTTTAGTCTAACTAGGAAGACGGATGTATGTGAGCTGATGGCATGAACTAGAGTAAAACCACAGCCATGATGAGGGCCAGGAATAGGAGGTGGGGAGAAGCAGGCAGGGTGGAGAGTGGAAGCATCAGCTGGGCGGGAGTGGGGCGTGGTTTGCTCAAACTCACAGTATCTGTTCTGTGACATTTGGATTCTAAGCTGGACCAGTCAGGACTGAGGCTAGACCTGTGGGGCCCAGGCTGGGCACTATAGTCAAGGCTGGACCCATGGGATCAAGGCTGACCCAAAGGGGCCAAGGCTAGTCAGGACTGAGGCTGGACCAGTGGAGCCAAGGCTGCATCCATTGTGGGTTGGGGGTCAATTCTAACCCAAAA